CTTGAAAGGATTCACATATTTTATCCCCAATGACTTAGCCCAAAAATGAGTGTCTCAAATATTATTTATTCCTTATTCTGGTAGATGAAATATGGTCAAATGAACCATCAATCACACTGTTAAATATCCATCATCACACTGTTAAATAATACAAACAAGAAAATGTTATTCTTAGGGAACACTGTGAAAAAAGCATGTTCTAAGTTTATTCTATATAAAGACCCAATCACATATACAGCTTGAAACACCAAAAGTAAATAATTATCAAGTTTGCTTCTGTTGATATAATGCAATTTTTACTGAATAAAGAACTAAATTTTAAAACTCTACAAAACCTGTGTTCATACCAAATTACTTATAAGTGGCAGACCATTGAATATTAGTGAACACATGTGAATGAATGTGATCTTTTAGTAAATGTGTTTTTAGTGTAAAATGCCATTCTTTGCTTCAGATAGTGGCTTTCCCAAAATGAAATGTGTATAAACCAGCCTGAAGCAAAGTTTATCCCTGGAAGCCAGGAAGACACTTAACTTTAATTTTAAATATCTTATTTTTTTTCCTTTTTCCTCTCTGTATGTTTTATAATGTACATAACAGATCACTGTAATAGTTCTCTATCATTTATAAATAATCAAATTTTGGAGTGCCTTCTTATATTTTTTCTGATAGGGAGTTGCATGATTAAAAAAGTTTAGGGCAGAGAAGCGTGGCTCATGCCTGTAATCCTACCACTCTGGGAGGCTGAGTAGGAGGATCACTCAAGGTCAGGAGTTTGAAACCAGCCTGAGCAAGAGTGACGATCCCATATCTAGTAAAATAGAAAGAATTAATTGCCCCAACTAAAAATATACAGAAAAAATTAGCTGGGTATCGGTGGCGCATGCTGTAGTCCCAGCTACTCAGGAGGCTGAGCCCTTTTCCTTAGAATTCTCACTTCACTTATATTTCACAAAAGTGCTTTAGAACTTAGATTTCTACCACCTGCATGGAGTGTAAAGACAGAAGCAAGCCCAGCAGAAAGAAGGCCCAATGGAGTCCACTCCAGGCTAGTTCACCTGAGGAGCTAGACATGCCCGTGAGTGCTCAGGGGCACACATGTGAAGGGGGGTAGCGAGTCAGGCACCAAGGTGTCTTCTTCGTTTCTGAAACTCAATTCCCTTCAAATCCTAACTCTGTAATAGGCCAAAGGATGCTACTCACATTTATTTGGTGTCAAATTCTTTTTTCTGAAATCCTTACATCTGCACCTTAAATCATCTAAAATAAACTATTATATCCGGCAAAACATTATCAAACAGAGCTGCTATTTAGCTTCCTTACTGTCTAGCTCTAAGCTAATGCTTAATATGCCTCCTAATCCTTTACGGTTGGAAGAAGGATCTTCACTTAACCAGTCATACTGCATTTAGAGGTAAACAGTGTTTTTGGACTATTTGCCCAGAAATTTCGAGTAAACTACCAGTTGAGGCTCTGAGTTTATTTTGGTAAGAGCACATATTCACATGCAATTACCCAGAAAGATGAAAAACTAGTTAGTAAGAAACCTACCTACTGTCATGTCAGAAGCTGGAAAACAATCTTAACTACACAGTATTTACAGATTGGGGCTATTAAAGGATTCATAAACCACTTTTCCAGGCTATTTCTTATACTTCATTAGTTATTAAACTGGTGTATGAGTCACTTTGCCTTATCTTGAAAAGATATCTTAATATTTTCTGATTTTGACAATTAAGTTTTTGTTAACAGTTTGTGATCTGGCTATTATCACTTCTAGAATACAAAATAACCCTTTAAATGTCTGTGGAGCATATGCTCTCAAACTGTCTTATTATTTAAATGACACAATGGTAAACTGGGTTCCCAAAAATGTCAAAATCCTAAGAAGTCTTTATTTCCAAGAGTAAAATAAAAGATAGCTAATAATGTGGAGTGAAAGCTATCCTGAGCCTTTTACCCCTCCCTAACATTTAGAAACTGGGGGGAATCTAGGATTGCATTAATTAACTTCTAAAATAAAATTTTATGGAAGTGTTTATTTTTAAAAGGAGAGTTTCAAGAGAACAAGATGCTTGAATAGGACATACTACTAAATGAAAAAAAAAAAAAAATCCCAAAGCCCTTTGCTAAGTTGGCACCAATAATTCAATGAAACCAAGCTAATTAGAGTTTGATCTCTACATGCAACATGAACCTTCTTAAAAGGATGAAAGACCTGTAACAAAAATAACCTATGTCCCTCCATCTTTTGGCAAATGAAATAAGTGAAATTAACCTAAGTATACTTTGGAAGGTTGAAGGTCACATTCAGAATTAAACAGAAAACTTTCAAACCAAGAAAGCAAAATGGGAACTTTCATTAGCTGCTTGATTCTACTATGTTGAAATGGAAATGATATAGATAATGACTATACAACAGGTGCTTAGTTTTAAAACCAGTACAAGCAATTTATCATGAAAAGTCTATACCTCGTAAGCTGTTTTTCTCTTGAGTTCTGCCCCTTTGTCATATGCTTGGGTTTTATGAAGACTATCCATTGTAACTGCTGAGAGCAGAGAAGCAAGACATGGAGTAAAGTAAGCTTGAGAAATCCCAGGGCTTAGGGGCCTTTTCCCTGGCTGGTCCTGGCCATTTATGTTCCAATACAGAAGGTTTAGACTGTTTTGAGAAAAGGAATCATATGTTGGGTATTAGGCTCCCTATCAAAGGCCATCAGATGGACAGCTATTTAGCAGGTAATTGGCCTACAGTTCTTGGATAATGATTTTAAAAAAGCAAAACAAAAAACCTTAAACTTTCCCACTGAAACCTTTTATTCTGTTTTTGTTTAAGGAAAACAGCTTTGCCCATAACTCACTGTGGCCTGGACTTAAGACACCAACTTGTAGTTGGCCAATTAGGAAAGAGGCCAAACTGCATTCTTCTTAGGCATTCAGTTAATAAATGGCACTTAACTGATGATTTTTTTCATATAATCTTTAACAAGAACTCATAAGTCGCATTGATTATGCCCCAAGAGATGAGGGACCGATGGTAGTTCAGATGGGCACCCCTGAAAAGATTTGTCACTTTCCTGTCCCGTTCTAGCCAGATTTTTTTGAAAACCTTGGGGAAAGACTGAAATTCCCCACCAATCTGAGACTGTATGCGAGTTTTTACAACATTAACTGGAAAAAACAAGAATCCCAACATGGCACCCAAAAGACCTCCACAGATAAAATCGTTGACCAAATTAGCACTGTGAGACGTTGCGGTAGGCAGATGCTCCTTAATGGGACCTCGAAGGCCAAAAAAAAGGACATTGCTGATTCCATTGCGGAAAAGAATGGGCACCAAGCCTCGATAATACTCTCTAATTCCGTGGTATTTTAGGGCCTTGAAAGCCTGGTAAGTGTTTGTAAATTTGTCATGATGCTTGTGGTCTTGAAGCAATGTCTGAACTCTTTCTAATGGAGTGAAAATTGCTTCTGTTGTCCCTGCCAGTACTGCTGCCACGCTGCGGGTTGCAAACTCCGGAGCACTGACATGCTTGCGGAGAAGGCAGGATAAATCCTCATACAGACCAAACATAAGTGCCAGTGTGGTTGTTTTTTGCATTAACGGGGGAAGCATTCCACGATATAAGTTTCGAAATCCATCCCTCCTCAACTGAAGTATCGCATCCCGGGTTTTGAGGCCATATAGTTGTTGCCGGAAAAGGACCTTCTGAACAGGAAATGTGATTGCTACATTGTTGAAAGCTGCACAGCAGCCACACAAGTAATGCTTCATTTCACCAAAATTTGTGATGTGAGGTGATACATCTTGTTTTGAAGATTTTAGAATTGGTGGCCTCTTGTCATGAGCTTCTGAATCCATCATGTTGCTTAAGATTTTTATTCTTCATGAAGAATTTTTTTTAACCTACAAATAATAAATATGGTTAAATCTTTTTTATAGAGAGCTAAACACATGGAATTCTCCCCAATCCCTCCTCTAATTTTTGGACAGTACTACTCTTTCCTTTTTAGACTAGATCAGTGGTCTTAGCATTTTCAGAGGACTCTTGAAGGTCCCTCAGATCCTTTTGGGAGGCCAGGAGAGTCCTCCCTTTTCCAGCTAGACATCTATGTGAGGCTGGATTGTCGGCATATACCCTAACCAAAACAACTTATCACAACAGACCGAATGCAGGAGGAGACATGAGACTTCACCTATCTTTTTTCCATTTTTTTTTCATTTCAGCATATTATGGGGGTACAAATGTTAAGGTTATGTATATTGCCCATGCCCCTCCCGCCCCCCTTCACCTATCTTTTTAAGTCAGACATGAAAGAGGCTTGGAAAACTGTAAAACATTCTTCTCATTAAAAAAAAAATTGTGAGGGAAAAAGTTATTTTTCACAAAAATGTGTTATATTAACATGTAATGTGTTTATCATTACCTTAAAATTAATATCTTTATTTTAAATTCCTAAGACCTTGAATACCAATTTACATAAACAAAAACTCTTTGGAGCCCACAATAATTTAAGAGTATAAATGAGTTCTAAGACCAAAAAATTTTGAGAGCCACTAAACTAGTTCATAAGTATTGGCTATGCTACATAACATATCCATTGTGCTACTGAAATAGACTCAAAGTCCTTCCCATGAGAAATAAAATAGCAAGACACACACTCATTCTTTCTATTAATACTTATTTAGTACCTACCATGAACTAAGTCCTCTGCTAAGTGCTAGAGATTCAAAGACAAGGCACTGATAAACTAACAGGAGAATTTGCCAAGGTAAACAATTATACCACACTGTGATACTTCTATAATAAATATGTGCTGTGAGTACATTGGTAAGGGACACCAGACACGGATCTGGGGAGGTGGAGGTGTGGGAGAATGGGCTTGAGGAAGGCCTGCAGGTATGTATCATGCACTATATTTTTATATATTTAATTCTCAAAACAACTCCATAAAGTATTATTTTTCCCAGTTTTACAAATGAATAAAACCAATATTCTCCTTTGTCCAAGGTATAGCTAGTAACTGGTGGGAATGGTATTTTGAAATGAAGTCTGACTCCAAGGTTCACATCTCTGCTGTGAACCACAGATGGCAATGATTTTGGGAGGGTGCACTGGGATAAGAGGTGGTTATATCAGATAATGCTGAAAAAAGTTCATCTAGACTAACATGCCCGTGAGTGCTCAGGGCACACATGTGAAGGGGTAGCGAGTCAGGCACCAAGGTGTCTTCTTCGTCTGAAACTCAATTCCCTTCAATCCTAACTCTGTAATAGGCCAAAGGATGCTACTCACATTTATTGTGTCAATCTTTTTCTGAAATCCTTACATCTGCACCTTAAATCATCTAAAATAATACTATATCCGGCAAAAATTATCAAACAGAGCTGCATTTAGCTTCCTTACTGTCTAGCCCTAAGCTAATGCTTAATATGCCTCCTAATCCTTTACGGTTGGAAGAAGATCTTCACTTTACTTAACCAGTCATACTGCATTTAGAGGTAAACAGTGTTTTGGACTATTTGCCAGAAATTTCGAGTAACTACCCAGTTGAGGCTCTGAGTTTATTTGGTAAGAGCACATATTCACATGCAATTACCAGAAAGATGAAAAACTAGTTAGTAAGAACCTACCTACTGTCATGTCAGAAGCTGGAAAACAATCTTAACTACACAGTATTTACAGATTGGGCTATTAAAGGATTCATAAACCACTTTTCCAGGCTATTTCTTATACTTCATTAGTTATTAAACTGGTGTATGATCACTTTGCCTATCTTGAAAGATATCTTAATATTTTCTGATTTGACAATTAAGTTTTGTTAACTATGGGATGAGTATGTGATCTGGCTATATCACTTCTAGAATACAAAATAACCTTTAAATGTCTGTGGAGCATATGCTCTCAAACTGTCTTATTATTTAAATAGACACATGGTAAACTGGGTTCCAAAATGTCAAAATCCTAAGAAGTCTTATTCCAAGAGTAATAAAAGATAGCAATAATGTGGAGTGAAAGCTATCCTGAGCCTTTTACCCTCCCTAACATTTAGAAACTGGGGGGAATCTAGGATTGATTAATTAACTCTAAAATAAATTTTATGGAAGTGTTTATTTTAAAAGGAGAGTTCAAGAGAACAAGATGCTTGATAGGACATACTACTAAATGAAAAAAAAAAAAACCCAAAGCCCTTTGCTAAGTTGGCACCAATAATTCAATGAAACCAAGCTAATTAGAGTTGATCTCACATCGCAACATGAACCTTCTTAAAAGGAGAAAGACCTGTAACAAATTAACCTATCCATCTTTTGGCAAATGAAATAAGTGAAATTAACCTAGTATACTTTGGAAGGTTGAAGGTCACATTCAGAATTAAACAGAAAACTTCAAACCAAGAAAGCAAAATGGAACTTTCATTAGCTGCTTGATTCTACTATGTTGAAATGGAAATGATATAGATAATGACTATACAACAGGTGCTTAGTTTAAAACCAGTACAAGAATTTATCATGAAAAGTCTATACCCTCGTAAGCTGTTTTCTCTTGAGTTCTGCCCTTTGTCATATGCTTGGGTTTTATGAAGACACTCATTGTAACTGCAGAGGCAGAGAAGCAAGACATGGAGTAAAGTAAGCTTGAGAAATCCAGGGCTTAGGGGCCTTTCCCTGGCTGTCCTGCCATTTATGTTCCAATACGAAGGTTTAGTGAGTATAGCATGCCCCAAGTAATTCGAAATGCTGGTGGCTGGAGTACAGAGACTGAGAGGGCAGTTTTAGCAGATTAGAGGAAGGGAGGCAAGGGCTGGATCATCCTGCACCTTGTAGGCCATGGCATGGTGTTTGGTTTTTATGGTAAAGGAAAGTAAAGGCATTTATTGAAGAAAGTGACATTTTTAAAAATTACTGGCAATATGAAGAATAGATTGAAGGGAAACAAGAATCTAGATAGATCCTATTTACCTCTCAATTTCTATACCAGAATCATTTATGTTCACTGGGGGGAAGGAAAAAAGTTCCCACATTGGAAACTTAAGATAAATGGATTAAGATGGGAGCCAGGCTCTTGGAAACTGGGAATACACTGCAGCTGGGCAGAGCAGCCCAGGGCCCTGTCTGGTCACACCTGCTGCCTCACTGCAGAGGTCTAGACCTCTGTAATGGGCAAGTTAAAATGACATTTCTTCAGATATGATTAAATGCCCCATTTAAAGTTCAAGATTTACATCTGTATGATAGACTTCTATCCCAAACCGGAATTTTAGAAGCAACATATGGCAACTGCTCCCGTATCTTGCCATCACCTATCAGGCAACCTCAACTGTCACTAGAGACAAGGAGCAAGCTAATATTTGACATACACACCAACAGTGTAGCAAATGTAACTTCACTCTTCTAACCAATTAGCTATAACACAAAGGAGCAGCTATGAAGGCAAAAGTAGATATTTAAAAACAAAAAAAACCCCTGAAAAACTGAAAAGCACAAACATCCAAACCATTTATCTTGGAGGTAATCTCTAATAGTGACACTATTACAACAAAAATTACCGATAACCTGAATTTACCAAGAAAGTTTATACTCAGTAAGGAAAAATTTATTACACTTGAGGAAAATCTTTAAAAAACAAAATGCTTTGCAGTTAAACTATCTGGAAAATAAAACTTATGTGGAACCCCTCTTGACCAAACAAGACGGATAAATGAAGGATTGTTTTACCTGCAAAGTCCTCAGATCAGTTGTTAGAAGTCAAGGTAGTGTGCTAAATGTTTGTCAATAAAAGACTAATAGATTAACCTACTGCAGAAAGGAAAGTGCTAGTAATAAGAAACTACCCAACCACAACAGTAGACCAAATAGGATGGGTTTAAAAAACTTTATTCCAAACAATTACCCAAAAGTATGTTAACTCTGAAACATTTAACAGATTTCACTTAACTCAGTCACAAAACTCAAAATATTAAACAAAAATAGCTTTATGTGCTTAACTACTTTTAAAAATGAAATTTTAAGAGGAAACATGTAGACACTCCCATATAATTTGGGAACCATTAAGCAACAAATATTAAGCAAAAAGCACTAAAAACTAAAAATTCTCAAATTTCGAGAGAATGCCTGTTTAAGTCTTTGATATGCATTTATTTGCACATGAGAAAACAAATATTTTAAAAGAAACCAGATTTGAGTGCTTACCCTTTCTTCACATAATCTGTCCACCCTTCATTTTATGACTGCATACCCCTCACTCTACCATACTTCTTAGTTCAACATGATTGGCTTCACTGAAGTAAGCCCTATAGATCCCATTTCATATATCCCATCTACTGCCATCATTCCCTTACATGTTTGCACAGCCTTATACCAAGTATCACCATTGTAATTGAGCTGGGGAACTTCAGGTATCCAAAGGCAACTATATATACACAATAGTGTTTATTGCACAGTTCACAATATGTAGCAGGTGATTACAGAGCCAACCATATTAAGATGTGTATCAATCAACTATTTAGACAAAAATATCAACTTCATCTCTAAGCACAAATGAAACAAAGACACAAATATGCCACCATATAAAGGTTGTGTTTATTCTGTGGTGCAGTCCTGAAGGCTCATACCACTCTAAGCATGTCAAATACAGAATCTATAATATTTCTGGTGGCATCAGACAAAAAGTATGACACAGAAGTGTCTTGCGCTCATGAGCTGTTTGTGCCACATATGTAACAGAAAGGCCACTTTTAAAGCTTTTTAGATAGTTATTCAATCATGTTTGCCTTTTCAAAATTATTACCACAGTAGTTCACACTGAAGGTAAAAACAATAGTTAGAATTTCTTAACAATTTTGACTTAAAGTTCAAAGTTGTTGGTTACAAGTTCTGTTCAATTGTTTTGTCAAATTTAAGAAGTT